TCTGATGTATGTTGAGTTGGATAAAAGCGTCCGCTAAATGAAATGTAGAATTGTAGAGTTATACACAAACACTAATTAACATAAATGCTGAATAGGAGGCTGCCATTGGAAGATAAACAGAAATGACATACTTCTTAGACCAGTACAAGAAGTGCCAAATGCCAGTCCCCAGAAAGTATTTTTAACATCACACTATAATTATAGCATACAACAATTGATTTTGGGAAAAAAAATATGCAGTCAACATAGAGAGCCAGCACAGAATATCAGAAATAGAAAACCTTGAGTTCAGCTTCACCACCCCTCTGGTTTAAATAAAATGCAGGTGAGTGCAGGCTTGTCTCTCTATAGTGATGATTCACATGCTCATTGTAAAATCTGTGGAAAGGCTTTCAGAGAGCATCTACTAATCAGCCTTATCAACCTTGGGCCATTGCACTAAGTAGCAGTAATGTCTGCAAAGTGCAGACTAAACACACGTCTGGTTGGGGACTACTGGGTAGCTACTAACACAAGCATGATCTATTTTTCTAAGTGTATGGGTTACTGGTCTTCCTGACACATTTTTGATATGTTACAATGGATCCACTTGAAACATTGAAAAGCATTGCTCCTCCTGCAGTGAATCCACACTTATTTAGGTCACTGCAGAGACAGCTCATCCGAGAGTTAAGGCTGATTAACAGCCATGACTCCTCTAAAGAATAGTTTAAATAGAGATGAATAGAGGAACTGGAGAACAGGGAAAGACAGAAACCTAGGGATAAGATGGTGGAGAGAAGGAAGGAGAGATCTGGCATGATGAGAAAAGAGAAGAAAGACAGGGACTAAACATGATGATGGTGAGATACAGTGAGACAATAAGTAAAGTGGAGATATTGGGGAGAAAACAGCAGTGCATTGGTGTCCCTCAGCCTAAGTTGTACCTGTGCCGCTGTGTTCCTTTCATGCATCATCCTAAGAACAGCTGCTGTCTGCTCCAGCCCCCATGGAGATTAATTAGTAGCTTCAGGTAGTGGAGGAGCTGCTGAGATAGGCACCCATTGTAACTCACAAGATAAATTACCTGAGCTGAAAGTTCATGGGTCAGCTATTTTACAACACGGAAAACAGTCCATCTGAGGGCTGAGCTCCACAACTACGTCAGTGTCTTGTGTAACTGAGAGTGGAGTGAGATAGTGAATGATGCAGTGGATGCATTGTCCTCTGTTCTTCATACATTTTGCTTTCTGGTTAAAGTGACTAAAAACGCTTTCGGAAACATTAAAATCTTTTCATTATCAATGCAGAGATAATCTTGGGTGCTGGATATATTTATTTTTAAGGTGAAGAAAATGGCTCTACAACACACTACATGTATTAATGTGTTGGCCTGTATTGTTGGAGAGGTATAAGGTTGTGCATCATCACTTGATGAAAAGTTATCAAAAAATGTCTTTTACTCGAAGCAAAAGTTAAACAATGATTTGACACATTGCTTTCAGGTCACCTTAAGAGCCAATGCTCATGGGCAAAAATATATAGAACAGAGTGAGTCCATCAGGACTCTAAGAGAGGGAAAAGCCATTGTATGTTACAAATACAGAAAACGATTATCAGGTACAATGCTGTGTTGTAAGGATGATAGAAAAATATCATATTAAGTCTGCAGTGGAAAAGAAAGACAGTACTCATATTCTATATCCATACTGTTTTTGCATTATGCAAAAGAAAAGAAAGAAATGCTCAATGAGAGTGCGATAGGTGCCATTCAGATAAACCAGAAGTTAAGAGATACTGTAACAACAAAGGGAGCCAGAATGTGTGCAGAAGCAGACTTTCCAAAATGCTCCTAAAAGAAGTCCAAAATCAGTTCATAAAAGATGTTGCATGTAATTTGTGTTTCAAAACACAAAGAGAAGTTTTTAGGTAGAAAGCCGCATGGTTAGAGCGGCATTTTTATGAGCTTACAAGTCCTAAGTGATGCATCATGTTTTTATGTCTATTTGTGAGTCAGTGTATTCTCTTTGCAGAATGTTGAAAGTAAACCGAGGCCTAACATTTCTTTTTTATATATGATTATAACATTATCTGACATTATCTACAGTAGGTCAATACTACATGCTGCTGACACTACTTCATCCTTATATTTGATAAGGAGGGGGGGGAGCTAGCTCTCTACTGATCTCAAAACAAAATGTATATCAAGGACCACAAGACTGCCGACTTGGGGCTCGAACAGTTTAGTATTGTAAATTCCCTCTTTCAGTTTGCTCATGATCTCAAATGTAAAAGCCTTGATGTCCATGCAAGTTAAAAATGCTGTCAAACTGGATTGTTATTTAATTGTCCAAGCCAAGATCCTAAGTCAAAGACCTCAAATCTCTTGTCAACAGTCAGCACAGTTGCAGAGTTGAGTTGAGCTATGGTGATGAGACCATTTAATCGCAGTAGTTATAAACCCAGAAATGAAGCACTGGGGAGAATCAGTTTATTTACGGAAATAAGTCAGACTCTGCTATAGTAGGTGGTGATATACCCCCTTTTAGCTGGTAAATACTGCACCTTCTTCCCATTAACCTAATGCGTCACTTACCGAACAATTGTCAAACAAAGTTAGCAAGTGGCAATCCAGGTATGTTAGTCCGACGTTGATTAATTAAACAGAAAGATTTCAGTCGGACTAACAGGTTTACATGTATTTTAAGAGAGTGAGGTTTTAGTCGGACTAATACGGTAGGTTTGCTTTTCTTACACTATGTAAACACTGATTGAATGTGAAACCGTTCTGTTGACCCTCGCTGTTTGAAATGTGCTATAAACACAGTTGATATGATTTGTTTCCAGGCAACCACAATGAATTGTTTAATTTCATTCTTTGAAATTGTTCTTTAATTCAAATGAAAAAATAAAAATAAAATAGTGCCTGAAAGATATAGCCGCTTTCTTTTACACATGTTTGTAACTGTCCTTAGCACTGCTCTTAACTGCTCTTAACAGCACATCAGTTGGTCAATGTGAAGTTCAAACAAAGCATGTGACCTGCTGCAAGAAATGCTAATGGCACATATGGAGGAAAACATTTAAAGTAAAATTATGTTGTCATTGTTTGCTCTTTTCTGCCCCTTTGTCGATCCTGTAATAGAAATATTGAAGTGCATAAATATGTTTTTACTCTAGTTAGCGTGTGAGAAAGTAATGGCTTTAAATAGATTCCATTTACTCAGACATATTGATCTGTTTTGACCCAGAAAATTCCAGCGCCTTCCACAGAGGATGGAATCAGCAGCTCCTGGAGCCTCGGCCTGCAAACTGTGTACACATTGCTCCTGATGGCCACCTGGGAGCACATCCATTCTATCTGACTCACCTGTTTGCAAAGCCAGAGTCGTGCTGCTTGGCTAATCTCCCCATCCCCCCAGAAACATTTTTCATCAGTGCACACAAACCGTCAATCTCTCTTTGAATGCACTCTTTAGATGTTTGAAGATGGCCCCTCAAGATAATTTACAACAAAGTGGGGCAAAAGGCAGCTTGCCTGGGTTTGTTGTAGTGCAAATCCAAATACAGATCTCAAATATTGAGATATTTGATAATATTGTGTGTGTGGGGTTGAATGTGTAGCCCCTGTTGCTGTGATTGTATTAAACTACTCAAATAAGTATTTAAAATCAGCAGTGAATAAAGATCATTTGGTTTTTGTCAGTTCCCAGAAATACTCCAGAAAAGTAATCGTATCCAGCATCTTAACCAACATCAAGGTCAACAACACAGGCTTTGGAGAACTGCTAAACAATATTGCCAAATTACAAGGAAGTTCAAAAAGTTAGAGTATATCTTCTAGCCGATGTACTGTATCTAAACTAAATACTATCAATGCCTTAAAAAATTGCTGACGGACATAAGATAATGCAGCGGCCCATGTGTCAAACAAAACACACGCAAGTGAATCAACTAAGTGACACGTTTGCTAACTCTCTCACTCCTCACCATCTCTCTGTCCCTCTGCCATGCAATCTAGCCAGATGTGGACATAGAGTGCTGATGAGTAGAAGTGATCATTGACCCCTTCAATTTTGAATAGAAGAGATGAATAGGCACTGAATGCTTAGAGGTACACACAAGGGAGCAGTGGAGAGGAAGTGGACTAATTGACGAAACTTCACATGAACAGACCAGATCCCAATTTATTTAAGGGCATCAACACGTGTTACCTGCTAGGCCATTTTTCACACTGACATGCATCTGCTTAATGCTTCTCAAATAGTTTTTGACCACTTATAGGGAAGAGGTAGGACAGAAAGAAAATTACACAGAGATCAAAAAAAGTAATAGACCTACAGTATATGCTGATTTTCTTTCTCCCAGTGCAGGAAAATAAGTGTTTCTGCAACTAAAAAGCAACCAAATGAAACCAGGTCTAAAAACACGTACACATCACCTCTCTGACAATATCTTGTATGTGCACTCATTCTCACATGCACTCAGAGAAACAAACACAAAACACAACCACTTATTATTTTAGACTGAAGTCACAGTCAAAAGAGCATCATAACTTTAAGAAAGTGGCAAAACGTGATCTGCAACACCCAGCTGCTGTCATCACTTTGACAGGAAGTGCAAAGCTATTACATCTGAAAAACATATTTTCAATAGTGAAATGTGAAATAATTACAAACCCATAAAAAAGCAAAAAGCATAAATACTGTACAAGACTGAGGCTATGTAACAAACAAAGAAAGGAAAAGGGGAGCTTGAAAGAGATAGAGAAAAGCAATTTTCAGGAGAATTGACACCTAGAAGAAAAAGGGAAAAGTAGTGCTGTTTTCTTTATCCCTGGGTGGGAGGGAATCCAAACTCCTCCTCGATGAAAAGTGAGAAATTGAAGAACTGGAGGAGAAGGTGGCGTTATTTGAGCCCAATATTCAACAGAGAAGACAATAAAGAAATCTACCACACAGATAGAACGAGTGACCAGACAGACAGATGTACACATAAACAAACATTGTTGGATGGCCTACCTGTTTGGCTAAGCTGAGAGGTGCTCCGGCTCTTGCGTGACATGCCAACCATGGCCTGCATTTTGGCACCAATGCTGGAGCGCCTCTTCTTGTCATCAGTGCCTACCGTGCCAACTGCAGTGTCAGACTGGCTCCCATCTGTCTTCTCCAGGTTACACATGTCACCGCTGATGCTTGTGCTCTTAGTCATGTTCAACCCGCCTGACGAGCCCATTTGCCTGTTTTTCATTTTGGATGCAAAGTCACTGTCAGCCACCACCATTAAGAGGGGGCAGGCGAAGACAGATAAGAGAGATAGGACAGAGGCAAGGTGAGAAGAGGGGAGGAGAGGAGAGGAGAGGAGAGGAGAGGAGAGGAGAGGAGAAAATATGACAGGAGAGATAATGGAGGAGGAAGCAGGAGATGTGGGGATGAAAAGGAGAAAAGGACAGAGTTCAGGTCCAGGAGTTCATGACTTACAGTATAGCTGAGTTTTGGGTTTGGGCTGGTCAATCATCAAAATATCTTTAATTGTTAAGCACTATTTTTTTTACATCTTTGACATGTAGAGTAATTAAACATTTGCACCACAATATGACTCCCTATAGCTTTAGAATACTTTAGAATAGTGTGTGTGCTTTCTTTACATTTAAAGACTATTTATCAGTGTGGGCTAAAAAATTAAGACAAAGTTAATCCTTGACCTTGACCTTCACCTAAATTATTACTGAAAGCTCAAGGGCAACTACTAATCCTTTTTTGTTGAATATTTTTGCCAAATACTTTGAATAAGTTCTAGACTGCAAAGGACCGATGTTGTGGCCCTTGGCAGTCCTCCTGTCCAAGTCGTCATATCCACTTTGCACCTGTGTAAAACACCTTGCCGTTCTAACATTATCTTTGCAAAAACAGAAGTCAGTTAGTTGCATTGTTAACGCTTATGTTAAGAAGCTATCTATTTGCTTGCTTTCTTTGTTTGCACATTATTGCATTTTTATGTGTGTTAATTCCATACATGACTCAACTGGAGAAACAGGTTAAAACATAAACATTGATTTAAGTATATTTAGCTAAATGTAAGGAAGTTAATTATCATAAAGATGACCTATTTCTTTGTATTATGGTATTGTAAAAGGTCTATGCTGTTTGACTCTCTTCTATGTGCACCTGGAGGTAGAAACTGATTTGCAACTCCTTTGTACCTGAGTCATGACCATACACTTAGTACTTTTACACTCAAGTGGACATGAAAAGAAAAGTTGTCTACCATCAACATTATTCTCCAGCTTCCTCTGCTGAAAAAGGAAATAGGCCAGTGTCCAAATTAGGGTCTTATTTTAGCTCTGCTAGTGAGTTATCTTTAACAGACAAATTACATTCTGTTTCACAGGCTCTGCATTCCTAATGGGATGAGCTACATGTAGCACCCTCAGGCTATTCATTAATTAGAGTGCCTGACCTCCACCATGTAACTGCCTTGTGGAGACAACTTACGGAGAGTGGACAAAAATGAGAGAGAAATAAATTGGATTGGAAAATAGACTCCATCTATGACTCTAAATAGGCTCCTTCAATTTCTGATCTTTGATAAAGCAGACAATAGTTTCAGCTCTGTTGTATACAAATGAAGAAACCTTTATTCAACCTCTTGTGAAACATTTGTTTAGAAATGTAAGTGCAGGTAACAATATTCCATCACCTTTTCATTTTCATTTGAATTATGTCATACAATATGCATACATAGAGAGTAAAAGTATAAAGCAAACTGGATGACTGAATATTCATTTTAAATATAGGTCAAATAATGCACCTATACTCTGAAAATTAAAAAGTGTTTCTGTTACTGTATTTTCATTTTAAAATTAGCTTTTTCATTTGAATTATGATACAGATTTAGCGGGGCATTTTTTGAAAATGATAAAGCAAATGTCATTTTCTTCCTCATTTTAATTTAGTCAAAGAATGTGCATTTTTGAAGTTGAAAACTAAAATTCAAATTAGATAAATTAATCAAAATTTAATTTTTGAGTCAAATAATACACTCATATTCTGAAAATTAAAAAGCATTTCTGTTAACGCATTTGAATTTTCAAATTAGCTTTATCATTTGAATTCTGATCACTAATCGCTTCCATAGAGAGAAAGGGAGAGCAGCTCATTTGGTCAAACAGTTTGATAATTAATTAGATTCAAATTGTATTGATGGTGTTAGTGTAGGAACACTTTAGAATCATTTCTTGTATTTATTAAGGAATCATTTTAGGAATGCCACATTTACAATGTTGTGATAAAAGTCCTATCCTAAACACGGTTGACTAAACTTCCACCAACTGGTGGTGAAAGAAGTCAGCAGACTTCAAGTGTTTAGGCTCCACATCTGCCAGGGCTGATGTGTGACTAGTGACATTCTACAATCTGCCCTTTAACTATCAAAAGTGTGAGGCTGCATTGCCCCTGGTCAGCACAGGGTGTTAAAGATGCCTCTTCTATTACATTAAAAATCAGCCCAGTCAGCAGAACTGGGGCATTGTTGTCACTGCAAATTATTTCCTTCTGATGTTAAATCAGATGATCAAAGAGGCACATGGTTAAAGACCCTGAGAAATATAAATCAACATTGCATTATAGACTGAAAAATATTCTAAAACTGAAAAAAATAAGATTTTTACTAATGTAAGTGGACACACTGTGCTAGTTGGTGAGTTTAGCGTCTACAGTAGTCCAATCTGTCAGGGAACGACCAAAATTAGACGTTAAGCTGTTCAGCATACTCTTTATTTAAATCCTTGAACATTGTCATGATTCAAATGGATATTTTACTGGTCTAACCAAAGACACTGTACAATATCCCCCAAAAAAACTAAATGTATACTGTCATAAATTCAGTGTTTCTTTTATCCCTGTAGCTTTACTCTCCAAGCAGGTGTTTGCACCTTGGCCATTGAACGAATGTGCTTGCAGAGAAAACCGGGACTCTCCAGGGATTTTGATTCTCAACCCCAGCCCTTAGAACATAGTGTTCCACATCATGCAAATTGCTCACCATGCATTTTAATCCAGGCCAAGATGTTCCCAAAGCAAAATAAAATTCTGGATTGTTTTTCTGTACTTGTAAAAAACCTTGCTGTCTTAAATGTCTTTGTTATGATAACAAACAACACAAAACCAGCATACATTTCATTTTATGCTTCAATTAAGATCTGAAAGGATCATTTAGTTGGAAGAACTAGTGATGCTGTGTGGAAGCTGGATGACACATAGGCCTACTATGTGTGTATTTCAAAAACATGCAAAGAGCATCTTCCTGTACATGTCCCCTCATTTTGTTCACTTTTCACAGAGAGGAACATTGCTTTATCAGGTGAGGTAGAAAAAAACAGTTACCGTGGCAACTGTTTCCCTATAGCCTGAACATTAGCCTGTCAACACAGCTCTTTATTAGAGACTAAAGGGATTAATTGAAATATGAAGCTCATGTTAATAATAGTATGTACAGGTAGGGGGTGTCTTTTAAGACATTAACTACCACTACGTGCTGATAGATGGCTTGTTCCATCCTGGAGATCACTGGACATGACATCAGCTCACAGTAGCGTCAGCATGCTTGCAGTGAAAGTGCATGCGTGCAGTGAAAGTGTTCATGGACTAAAAACACATATGGCTGTCATGATGTTCATATGCCAAGATAATGCAAACAGGCTTGTTCATGTGAAGCAGATGTACCGTATATTTACACTGCGACCTAAATACGTTGAAGATTTGTTTTAGCAAAATCTACGTGCTCTGCTGCTTCCATATAAAGATAAACAGCACAGTGAATGAACAGGCAGCATTTTGATCAAAAGAACCAACTTCCTGACTACTGGAATCACTAGATACAGTTTGATGGGTTGATTAAACCCATTAATCTTGTACCCTCATGGTAAAGACATTCCTTGATGTTCTGTTGAGTTAATTGTACAGGCTGATGAGAGTTTCATAACTGGTAGAGCTTACATAACAGTAAATTAAAAATAGAGCTCCAATGATTTATTTTAGTGCATACAGCATGTATCACAATGTTGAATGTATGATGTTGAAAAAACACCTTTGCCTCTCTTCTCCATATAAAGCATCTAGGTTTTATAGAACTGAGATTTGTGGCTTGATACCGGGTGTCACACATGCAGGACTTATATTAAAGTGTGTTAGGATGCACATGTTAAGAGCATGACACTGGGAGCAGTATAAAGGTCAGTGTACTCAAATAATGTGTTCTTCAACTTCCTGGGTACATAAAGGAAAAACTGCTTTGCTAAAGCACCAATATGTTTTTTGATTGACATGAGGATTGATAGATAAAATATATAAGGGTGAGAGTAAGGGGTAAGAGTTTCAACTGGAGGACTTGTGTATTCATTGGGGCATTTATTCAGACACAGACAAATAATGCATTAAAACCAACAAGACTCACCTTTGTGAAGCTGAAACTAACGATTATTTTAATGTTTTGGTAAAATATAATGAAACAATTCTTTAAAATTTCAGAAAATTATCTTATTTACTTTCTGACTAACCATTAATTCAGGTTCCACAGTCCCTTTACATCTGAGAGACAAAGGATACTCCTTTAAGGATGACAAAGTGCCTATCCTGGACAGGAAAGATCGTTGGTTTGAAAGGGGTGTTAAAGAAGCCGTGAAGGTGGAAAACCATCTCTTAACAGAGGTGGAGAGACATCATCTTTCATCAACCTACAATGCTGTTTTAAATTCTCTCCCTAAACAACTGAAGGCCCATTCCCACCTTGGAACATGCAACTCCAACGACTCACACACGACTCCAAGGCGACTGGGGGTGGTTTACGGCTCTAGGCGAAACTAGGTAAACGACTCCGCTAACAACTCTGATGTGAGCCATCCTTGATCATTAGCATGCTAATTCATCATTAGCATGCTGTGACAGAGGTCTTACATTTCTAGTTCAGTCCACCAGAAAGTTTAGAACTCCTTTAAGAAGAAGCCTTTCTAAGGAGAGGTGAAACGTTCAAGATCATATATGTACCAGTCCAGAGGCCTTTTTCTTTTTATATTTATTATGCTCGGTGCTAAAATCGCCTCAGAGAAGTGAAACAGTAAAGGGAACTTTAGCATCACTAGAAATAAGAATATGCTGCATAGCTGCACAGTTTGAGAGGCCTTGCACCCACTGCAATGACTGTAAAAAAGAATGTGTGTCTGTGTAAAGCCTGGCTGGCATTGTCCCTGCTTATCAAGTATTATTGGTTGCTCCTTTTATTTTGGAGCTGCTTATCTGGAAATCAATAGCGTGTGAGTTTAAAAAATGTAAATAATATTTTCTAAAAAATACCATAGCAGAATGAACACCAGTGTATTATTGACTGTTGTCAGTACTCCAGTACTTAACTAAAGTAATACTTTGCCTGAGTAACTTGCACTGGTATAATATCTGACCAGTAGTATCTACTCTTTGACTGAAGACGTTGTGTATTTTGTCCAACACTGATAAAATGTGATTTAAGTTCTAATCGGGTAGTGTAAACCACTGTTGAATAAAAATCTTTAGAAAATGACTGCTTAAATTAACATAATGCTCCTTTGCAACAGCTTTTTTGCAACTCTTCATGGACTTATATATTTCACAAAAGATTGTCATGCAGCTAAAAGGTCAGTGTAAATACCTTTGACAAAAATATGGATCTTTTGGTACAAACATTTGATACTTTGGTGGTATTTTGCATATTGTGATAGATAAGTCTGTTAAAGATTTGACATGTTTTTAGTACATATATAATAAGACCCTTTACACATCACCATGAACAAAACATTTTGCCTGGTTATTCACTCTCTAGGGAATGCAGGTGCAACACACTTTGAACTAAAGTTGAATATAAGTTTAAAGCTGAGCCTTTTTTGTCATCATTGTTGGGGTTTTTTCTCACTTGTTGTCCTAGAAAAGTAGAATATGCAATGACTCACATGTGGTGAAAGTTTGGTATATAATAGATTTATACTGTAGCTGTCATGAAGGGATTGGGGTTGATAACACAGATAAGAGCTTTCAGCATCTTAAAAAGCTGGAGAAATTCACCTCACTTTCAGTCAAAATGAAAATGTTGTTTGAAATTGGATTATTGCCACTGAATTCAAATCAATCTTCTGAATGTATTTGACAAAGCATGCTTTTTAATTTTAATAACATTACCTAAAATTTCCTATGACTTCACTGAAAGTGAGTTAGATGCTGGATGACAGTCTAGGCATGACGGTTATGGTGTTACACAGAGAAAACAAATATTCTTGGCATATTGAGGACTATCTGGAGGAATGTGGGAGGTTTGGGTTGACAAGTTGCAGGTGCAGAGTAACACTGTTGGACTAAGACAGCATGTGAAAAACACAGAAAACAAAGATGCAACAACAGAAGACAGTAAAGCATCACAGAGAGCAGACTCCATTGAAAACACTGTACTGTCTCATTCATTTTACTTCTTTTTGCTACCGTCTCTATCTAAAAATACCACACATAGGTTCTCTACCTGTATACCTACCAGTGGATTTTGCTCACGTTTCTGCCATGTGCCTCTTCTTAATCAGATTGTTTTCTAGTGTTGTGTTAATTATACATGAGAGTGTAGCTCTTATCTAAATTTGTTTTCTCTCTAGCCCAGAAAGACACTGAGCAGTGCTTATGTGAGTATGAGGAACTAACTTGGACCCTGCTGTGAATGTGATTTGAGAAGACATCTTACTAGGAGATTGAGCTAAGCTTTCATCCTGCTCTGGGATTTCAAATGAACTTGCACTTGAATTTGCTCTTGACATACTTTTTACTTTCGCTGGTTCTAGAATATTTATAACTCAAACAATACTCTCTGGTGGAGGGAATAAAATCATCTTGAGATAAGTATAACATTGTTCTACTAAAACCAGAACAGTATTAAAACCCTTAACTTAAAAAAAAGGAATTCAGTGATGTATTTCTGGAATGATTAAAATGAACTTTAGCCATATTTTCTCAATGTGCCTCTAGTTTGAACATTTTGAATATTTTTTTTGTTCAAAGTGTTTGTGCATGTCAGGTGTTTCAGTGCAGTCATATCTGTGTGAGTTTGTTTCAGTATCAAACAATATTGCTGCCGTACTTTCTGAAATTTCAAAAAATGATTAGCTATCCATATCAGAGACCTGGACCACAAATGCTCACATTAGCAGTACATTTGCATGGCAGAACACTGGCTTTTCATTTCAGCCTCCACGGTAAAGGTTATATGTTTATTTCTATAAAATATGTGGATAGGCTCAACAAGAAGGAAATGTAGGTTTTTTTTTCCACTGGCAGTCATCAGATCACAATTCTGTCTTTACTTAATGTTACTATAATTCATATTGAAAGGAAATGACACGTTCTACCTTTCAATATAAAAGGTAGGTGCAGCTGATCCACTACCTGTGTGGAAAATGCAACCATGTAAGATACAGCTGTTTAGCACAGCAGTTGTCACATGCTGCTTATTTAAAGAGCATTGTGGCCCAGGAATCAGATGGCAGCATTGGCAGTCAGTTAGAGGTGAGTCATTTTGATTTGTGACATTTGTATTGTGTGTGTTGTTTTCTTTTACTGTTCAACTCACATGCTTGTTGTAAGATTTATATTCATCAACTCATCATCGCACTTACAAAGTTATCTATATGAAGGTTGGCGGATAGTCACTGCACTCTACTTTCCACAAATAATGTCATTGGGACACGTGGGGATAAGGGTATTATTGCAAGTCCACAGTTAGGGGCTGCCATACATGTGTTACCTGAGGTCAGTCTCTGAGATACTCCTTTGGTGCAAGTCGTCTTCTTTCTCAGCCAAATCCTCCTGATGCTCCTTGTCTGTGTCTACCTTTCCCGCTAAACCCTTCCTCTCTCCCTGTGATCTCCTCTCTTTACTGGCCCTTCTCCCATCCTCTCCACCTCCCCCACCCGCCTCCGCCTCCTCTAGCACTTCTCCTAATTGCTCATCCCCCTCCCGAGAATGGCTTCTTGATCGCAACTGGCTGAAGACAGCCACAGACGCATGAGAGCAGCACATGCAAAGCAGAAAGAAAACCAAACAAAGCATGAACATTGTCAACAACAAGATAAAGAAAGACAAAACATTAAGACACAGCGCAGCCAAGAGACAAAAGCAGACTGATTAAAAAAAGTAGAAATTAGACATGTAGACTTACAGCATGCAAATGAATTTGTTTCTTGCTTTGATATGAGACAACACCCAAAGAGATGCAATGTGTTTTACATTCAAATGTGTTGCCAGATATGGTCAAACATCCCCCCAAAGCCAGAATGAGTTCAATCATTTGGTTCCAGATTATTCTAGAAAAGGAGCCAAACCTGAACTCATTACAGAGAGAAAATGGCACTTACTAGGTGTTGCCATTTCCTCTTTTAGTTTAACAAGGTGCAAGCAATTTCAAAGCTGAAAATATTTGCACATGGTATTGGAAAGAGAAGTTCAAAGCTCCGGGGGAATTGACCATTTCTGATAGCTTGATGAGGAGACTAAGACAGTTCACTGTCCACTGATGTGGACATTAGCCTACCGTATCTTTCGGTTCCCTTGCGGCCTTTCTGATTGGACAGACATGTAGCTCGTGCTGCTGAACCGAGAGGCACTACTGGTTCTCGACACAGCGGACACGTCGCTTACATCACTGTCCGATGACTTGGCCGACAGGTTATCTGAGCCCCGTGGATCTCTGCCTGAACGCTGCAAAATCAACAAAAACAGTACACAATATCAAAATGACACATAAAAAGTTTGTCTTATAAGACCAAATAATAGAGTTTTTTTGGCACACACATTTGGGATTAATTTAAGTCCATGCTCTTTTGAATTTTTAGTTGTTACAGATTCCATATTGTGTAAACACACACTTATTTTAAAATGTAAATTAGGAACTATTATCAACCTTTAAAAGAGCTACTGTAAAACAATGCTATCACAGTCAACTGACCATCTCTTAGGCAACGGCTGATAAATATAAGTAATATAGTCTTGGTTTAGAGTCATTGCATAGTGCTTGTTAGGTCTTCCTTCTGTAAGGTCAGAATGTTTTTCAAATGCATCTTAAAGACACAAGTGATAAAAAAAAAACACAAGTTACAACTGAAGCTTGATGTGGTGATTGGACATTTCTGTGTATTTTTCCTTGTTTGGTGCTTGTGTTTTTGTTCTTTCAGAGGCTGGGTGTGGTTTATTGGCTGCTGGAGCTCTCTGCAATCACTCACCTGTTCGTCATCTGTAATCACTGGCTGCAGCATTTATACCCTGGTTCAACTCTCCCAAGCTGCCAGATTATTTCTGCCTACACTGTGGTAGATCGGCTTCTCAGTATCAGTAAACTTTTTGTGCTTTGAATACCTGTCACTAATTATTCCCTTGTCTTCTTTTTTCACCAGTGCCTCCAACCACCGAGCTCCAGCACCTCACCACCCAGCCTCTCATTCAAGCCTCACCAGCCTTCACCAGCCTCACTTCAATAAATACCCGTTTACCCACCACCCTGTTTTCCGGTCTTGCTTTTGGGTCTACTTAAAAACCTTTAAGATCATAACACTTGAAGCTTCAAATGTTTATTTTTAATATTCAAAATGCCATCTGGGTACTCAGACTGGTCACAACATTTAATAAAGGAAGATGTAATGTAATCAATAAGCATCCATAACTGCCTCGACCCAATTAAAACAATCTAAAGGGCCTTACTATGCACATACGTGTTGTCATATGGGCCCAACATGAATCAATCCAAGAGTCTCAGTTCCTTTTAAAGTAAACACTCTTTGAATGATGTATTTAGACATGTTCAATAGTCTATGACTAGTCTCAACTTCAGCTGATTTAACTTCTTTCATTTCATTTAGCCAATTTAGATATTAATAGATATATTATAACGCATGGATCATATCTGCTGCAGTGATCAATCACATCATAAATGATTAATGCATCACTCTATATACTAAAAAATGGTGTGCATTTATGAATGAGGCACAGCAGCATGACTCTATTGGTTATTTAAATCATCAAAGAAAGTATATGGCCTTGAAGTGGACAGGTGATTGACTTTTGGAAACACAAAAACAACTTTGTAACCCTGAAGTATAATATTGTCAGGTAATGGAAAATCCAAATCTCATATTGCCTCAGTTACATTTCCCATAAAAGATTCCACTTTAAAGGGTATGAGAATGTTACATTAAAATGAGGAGTTAGAAACTCCTGAGGCTGTTGACTGATAGCATATAATAATAAAAACAACTGATATGGAGCCATTTCTGTGACTTTACTTATATTATTTATTTTACAAAATGACTTCAAACTGGGGATTCTTTGGTAGCACAACAATCATTCAAATCCTTTCACTACGTGGTTAAAGAAAGTTTGTAAACTTGGATGTGTTTATGTCTTTCACATGTTTTTGTGATGGAATGCTAACCCATAAACTGAACTGAGTGTTACAGGAACTATTTACTATTACAACATGGTTTGAGGACATGTGCCTGGAAGTCCTGTTTAAGAATAGTGAGAGCACTGCTTAATCATTGACACTTCCAAGGAGGTTGGATGTTCAACACAAGTACAACTAACCATTTATCAATCTGCTTTTTATAGACTCAAAGCAAACACATTGGCTGCTCCTAATGCAATAGTTTTCATTTCCTGGACTTAAAAGGAGAGTTAGTCAGAGAGCCTTGGCCCAGACTCCAGTGAGAACACATGCTCAGGCTGAGCTCTCTAAACATGACCTCTCCAGAAGTGTAGTAAACTCTCCAGTCTGCAGACACTCACTGTCACATTCCTTCAATTTACAACCAAAGACTTAACATTAAGTACAGCCTGATGACAAAAAGAAAACTGATCTGGGTATAACTCATCATCAAAATCAAGATATTGATTTTGGGAAGGCATTTTGCTGCTGAGTATATCATCTTTAATATTGTGAAGCAAATTCTATTTGACCATGTTTTTCTAACACCAATATGTGTCCCTACTCTGCCTACAAACCCCCCAATTATGAGTAAAGTCCATCCTCTCTGTCTTTCGCCTGCACCACTTTTCAGTAAATGTGTGCTCAAACCGGCCATTTGGAGTTTTCCCCTTTGTGACATCACAAAGGGCAATAACCCCTCCCCCAGGTGGGCAACACCTCCACAGCTAGGTTTGTGTTTTGCCTGCTTAGTCCACCTTCTCACCGTAAACAATTGGGCATTGTGCAAGAAAACTCAAACCACCCAAGCCCTTCCAGAGGGGCGTGGTCAGACACAGCTCACTTGCATTTAAAGTACAGACACAGAAACAGCCTGTTCTTTGCAGGTCTCAAATAGAGGGGTTTATAGACATGCTTGAATACAGGATCAAAGTGGATTTTTGGCAAGATATGCTTTGGGTAGCTCTTAATTAAACTTGTCAAAAAGGAGGATAATATGTGAACTTTAAACCACCAAAAATTAGTTGTAATACATATATTAAGATTTTAAGTGATTGTTATAATATCATCTTTATCATTGTTTTCCAACATATTATATAGTTTAATTGTTAACCTTCTTTGTTGTTTTTGTATAGCTTTGTCTGTGCACTTTTACCATGTACACTATGCAAACATCAATGCGCATGTGCAGAAGGATGTTGATTGTGCATGTGTACATGCTTGATTGCTTGCAAAGTGTGCCATATGGCCTATGCACGTTGCTTTATGCAAACAGCTTACTGGAGGTGCATGTTTTATGTCAGTGTAACTCGAGTACTGAAGCATACATCCAGCAAACCAGGACATGGTGTTACCTTGTGGTAGTCCTGCTCCAGTCTGGAGTCAGAGCCTGCTCCCTGTTTGTACTTGTTCATCTTTAGTTTCATCTGCCTGGTCCTCTCCTCCATGTCCATACCTAAGCACACAGATGGGAAACTGTCAGATTGGGGTTGATGCGTCACAGGAGACCTGATGGAGGGACATACTGTTATGGAGAGAAACAAGCTTCTGCTGAGCTATGAGCCATGAGCTGTGACAAGAACAGATCTAATGGGGGGGAGGGAAGCTGAATGGTTGGCAACATTTACAACAAAACAAAAACAGAAATACAGACAAAAATACTGATTAGTTAGAGTAAGGGCACATTTAACTGCTACATTTCTAATAGATGCAATCCACGATTCCCCTTTTCATCTTATTTTTTTAAATTGGCTAAACACAATCAAAAACACAATTTATTAATTCCTACAAAAAATAATAACAGCGTTGGTCTCTAGAACTAGCATTAACAACCCCCCTCCACCAAAATCAATGATTGTTAACTATGTTGAGATGCGAATTATCTGAAATTCTTAAAAGTTAAAAATAATTGTCCCTCCCTTTGAGCTCAGACTGTAAAACTAGGTTTACAAAAATGTCCTTATGTCCACATTATCAGTGCTTTATAACATCATCCCATCTCATCTCTTCCAAAAAACAAATAAATCACTAAAGTTTTTTTCATATCCCTACGTGCTATAATTTACTTTATGGAAACATCAAGTTTGTCTAGGCAAAACACAAGTCCAATGTGTTCTCTGAAAGTAATTAAACCACTCTAAATGAACTCTGCTCAATTCTTGTATCCAAAAAAAACATATACATAAATAAGTCCTAAAAACATATATCGTATAGTCAGTTTAAAATACTACATATTTTCTTTGGTGAAAAAAAAAGTCAAATGCCACGGACTAATGACTTTCATTCATCTCCATTCTCTCCGTCTCACTCTGACTCTGCTTTTGTGTCATATGAAAGCAATGATCAAGTAAAGGTGAATGAACACATGTGCCATGCGCACATACAGTATGCCTTCACAAACACACAGACAGGGAAAAGCATTACAAGCTAAGAGCAAATGAATGACTGTATACAGGAGGTGTGGCAAAATGATTTGTCTTAAGTCTTTGGAGTTGTCATTTGCATTTCTTGAATATTTGTTAATTGTCAGCACAATACATAAGTAACATCAAACTTCAACTTCAGTTTTCTCCATTACAAACAAAATGGTAATTCTAGACTGGATCAGAAATCTGGTGAACATGTTAAGGAATATATGAAAATATTCAAAATATGTTTACCTAAAAAATGTCAATGGTGTTGATGAACACGTTGTATTTTTTTCAGTTTTCTTTTTTGAAGTTACAGTGAAAACACAATACGTTAGGACCGAATGTGTAATGACTACTTTGTCTTAAAGATCACAGGACTTTAATGAAACATTAGCTATAAAATTACAGGAGCACATTTTTAGCTTCATCTGATTTACGGTTATTTAGGTTTTTTTTTTAGAGGAAACATTTAGGTACTTAGAATTTTAAGAAGAGAAATAAATTGGCAAAATATTAGAACTACTTTGATATTTTGAGAAATATGACAATTATTTTCCTTTATAATTTTGCCAGAACAGAGGATTTATAGATTGTCTGCAGGATGCCTGGCAAAAACATAGCCACAACAATTAAATAAGAAGTCGATTAAATATCAAAAACTGGCAATGTGATCTCAATGTCAGCAGCAAGATCATAATCCACATTTTGTGTTCAAGCATATGTGACTAAACAAATAATCAAAATATATTCATCAGGGGAAATTTGTTTTACTTTGAAAAAAGCTACAAACCCAGTTTAAGTAAATGTTTAAAACTATACAGAGTAATACAGAGAAGATTTTCTGTAATACACTGACAGAGCTTATTCTAAGAAGACCTGCTGCAAAGGAAACCATAGAGGTGTGACCATGACCATGCTCCTCTGAACACATTCTGTCCAGACAACAAACTATGCAAAATGACAGAGAAGGTGGAAGCGTTGTCTACAGAACAATCAAAAAGCACAAACGGCGCAATAAAACAGAGGCGAGCCAATTGAGAAAAGAAAAGATGACTGAAATAAATTAGGGGAGGAGGGGTAGGTCAAGCCAGGAAGACTTATAGTGTGAATAGAAGTAGTAGAAGAAGACGAAGAAGAGGCTGAGTCAGATAAGAAAGAAGGTGAAGAAGAAGAAGAAGAAGAAGGGACAGACCTGAGTTCGTCCAACTTGGTGAGTCCGTGTCTTCTGGGATCACATCACAGAATGGACAGACACAGACAGAGGAGAGTGAAATGGAGGTGAGAGGATGCAGGACGGGTGAAAAGGAAGACAGAGAAGAAGAGAAAGAACGGAGGGAGGGCGACGCCACCACAGTGATCAACGAGTATGTAAAGTTTGAAGGGCCAGAATGAGGAGAAGAAGGATGAAGGGTCAGGAGGGAGGGACACAACACATAACGACAGTACGCCACAACGATGACAAAACAAACGAGCACAGAACACAGAAACAAAATCATAGAATACACCAAGAACACACAAACTCCACCATGGGCACAGTGAAAAGTCATAACAGAGCAATAGGGTGCGAGGCCGGGACAGGCTGAGGTAGAGGCTAAGAGTTTGGTTATTTGAGAAAAAGGAAGGGAGGCTGAGGTTCTGTGCTTTAAAGGGAAAAGAGCTGAAACTGTAAAAAAAATGTTAGAGTCCCAAACCAGATAGAAATTCTGGACCTCTGAAGACAGGGAGAGGGAGGAGAGGAAAGGAGGGTAAAAGGAGAAGTGGGTGTCACTTGAGTCTGCATGTTTCTACCGTGGTAGGACAGCCTGAAAAAATTAACATGAAAGAAAGGAAAGAAACACACACAGAAAAAAAGGAGTGAAAGCACAGAGCAGCGAGCACAAAAGAGAGCAAAAGACCTCACACAGCCAAGTTGTGAAACTTGAGAAAAATATTGACATAACCTGAGTCAGCAAGACTGCATATGCAGTTACACACTCTCTCACGCACACACAAATACACATACACACACATATATAAGCTGCAGAATCTTTAGAAAACAATGTTGTGCAACAACAAGATCAACTGCTTGCTTTCAGCAGGTTCCACTTGTGCATTTTGCCCCTCTACAAATTATTAATTTCCTTCTTTCCTTCCGCTTAGCCTGCAAAAACCAGGAAAATATTCTTAAGATTCTCTTTATCTCTAAAGATGTGCTGTGATTTGTATCTGCTATGAAGACATATGTTGATATGTTTCATATGTTTCTTCAGGGGTTCAATCAATACCTCATGGACCAACATGAGCTCAGACCAGGCAGTTCAACATGTGGGTATGTCTGATTCTGCAGAAAACCAACTGAACTTGAACCTGACAAAACCAACAGTGACAGCTGGGAGAGCTAAATAAGCCGACTGCAATTGTACATAAATGTCATAACCTCTAACACAGAATGAGTATTTGGCTCAATGACTACTTGGTTAGTGTCACATAAACCAAAAGACAATGTGAGACATCTGCCTCATCAGCTTTCTTCATGCCAGCTAACATCACCTTGTTAGAGCAGTGGTTCTCAGCTGGTCTAACCTAAAGACCCACCACCAACTCCTTCATGAAATTTGTGACCCAAATGTCAGATTTATTTTTTAACCAATCTGAATTATTGAATGAAATATACTGCACTTCGATGGACCTGAGATGAAATATGTGACAGAGCAAAGAGAAGGAACAAAACCAACATGTTTCAAGAGCACTGCATAGACTTTTTGACTCTTGTTTTTCCAGTCACATGCTCGCGACCCACTTAAAACTGCTCCGCGACCAGATTTTGGGTCCCAACCCACCAGTTGAGAACCACTGTGTTAGAGGGTCAAATTATACATATATTCAAAAAATGTCTCTTTTCTTTGACTTTACTTCAGCTGCATCATGTAAGTCACCAGGATATAAGAACGATAAATTAAGACAGAGATAGGAGTGAAAAACTAGAACGAGTCTGCCTGAAAAAAGTTCTCTGTGATCCGTAGGTTACTATGAAATATTCAAATTAACCTATGACAAATTCCAAGATTACAGGCCCCAGCAGCAGACAAATCAAAATAATGTTACATTCAATTACCAATGGTGTAGATGGATTGAGCTGGTTTAATAACAAGCAGATGTTACCAACAATGACATTCAGAAACAGCCTGTGTTAGTAGTGTTATAATGTAGAGCCCATTATACAGCATAGTTTATTTTACTATATCTCACCAGTATTGTGCCATACTAAACATTTAGCCTACCCCACATGGGACTACAATAAGCTATTAATCAAACTAGACACAGATTATATGTATGTGTTATATGAACAACAGGCAGGGCAGACAGGAGCAGAAGGAAATTAGGAAATGGATAGTTTATCCTTTTTTTTTTACAAACCTCCCAGGCTATATTAGGTATCTGGCTAGTTTACATGTTCCAAATTAATATTTTTTCATCATTTGTGCTAAAAAAAACTGTTAAAAAAGCTTATCCTTTAAAGTAACTACAGTAATAGTTAAATTCACTTTTTAGTTCCCACTCTACTTAGAATAGGAAAAGTAGCTCATTGTCTATGAGATGGTCCGTTTTACAAATAAACCTAAGATGTTATTCAAACAACATGCAGTTATGTCTCCTCATCAAAGAAAAATGAACTCTGCTATTTGTATTTTCGATGTAGTAGGTTGGTTTATTTACAGCCTTTCGCTTTCTAAATGTTTCATAAATTATATACAAGCATAAAATACATGATTTATCACTTTTTTTTTTTTTTAAAGACAAAGACTTGATTGCCCTGTTTACAAGAAAAAATATAAAATTAAACAACAGGGCCACCTGCACAAAACAAGATAAAAAAAGTAATGTTTTATAAGACGATCTCTTTTATTGTACACACACACTTATATTTTAGTCCTTAGGGTTTTTATTTTGTTGTTGTTGTTGTTTTTCCAAAGATGTTCCTGTTTTAAGGGTGTCTGCTTGTTATGGAGCACATATTAATTGACTGGTTTAGGGAAATAAAGGTAACATAGTAGTTAGGGGTGTA